TATAAAAATTAACACAAAAAATGCTCTTGGCATAGCAAAAATAATTGTGATCTTCTTGCATCGTTCATTTCCCCTAAAGTGTCTGGGAGGGAGGGGTACGGGTGTGGCACTTTGAAATGAGTAGGCTGCGATTCACAAGTTGTAGGCTGGAACACTATAAAAAGCGCGAGAAAAGGTATTTTGATGTACATTTGGATGCAGGCATGGAACAGGTCGCTTAATAGCATCATAAAGTCCAGTCCTGAACGAAAGCGAGGGTTGACTTACTAATAACTTGAGTTTAATAGAAGTTTACATTATATAGTTGGAAATGTCGATGAAATTAATATTGGGGAAAAAAATGTGATATTTGCAATGATAAAAACACGTGAACGAAGGGATTTGAACCCAAGCATTCCCCGAAGACCGGTCTGAGTCCCTAAGTCTGACCCAAAGGGAATAGTCCATGTTCGTACAACGTTTGTTTTGACGAGAAATCCTCGTCACAAATTTGACATTACGGGATTTGAACTCACGATGACCCCATCTTGAAGATGCGATGGTCTTACCAACTGAAGCAACTGAAATGCTATAGTTTACATTATTTATTTTCTGAGGAATAATAGACCATTTCCGAGTTGCCTCCGGCCTCTGTATCAAAACGAGTCTAAGTACTCAGCCTTCAACATGGAAATGATTTTTCATTCTCATGCTCATGCAAATAAAACTCATTTTCACAAGAGAGGTTGTGCACTTGGCGTCATTTTGAAAGTGAGGGTTTTTGGAACTCGGTGGTAGCCTATTTAAGTGGCGTTTATGTAGTAAGGACTAGTTTGTGAAGAACATGAGTTCGTTTACATGAGTTAAGATCTGAAAAATAAATAAAGTTATAGTCTGGGACTAAGCTCCGCAGTGGGAAAAAAGATAAAAATCGAGGGGAAACAAGGCGCCACCCTTTCCCCTTCCCAGACTACCGCTTGGCTCGCTTTCGCCCTTGATGATCTGATATTTCGTTTTTCCCCCCACTGCGGAGCCTGGTCCCAGGCTTCTGACGTTAGAATTCATTAATCCACTGCCTAGTTAGATGTTATCAACTAGTTTGCTGTGATCTAGGAACTGACCAATAATGAAACTTCAGAATAGGAGAAGAAGTGCTTTCAATGTAACTACATGTAAATGCAGTATAATAAAGGCGAAGATTGCCAATTCGTGTTAATGAATTCAACTGTTGGACCAATGCTTGGATGGTAATCGTTATTTATCATCTACGTATTTTTTTTTTACGGGAAGCTGGTGTGAAGTCTTCTTCAGGGCAAAGCTCTGTGACAACTACAGGAGGAAATGAGGAGTAAGATTTAATAGAATGTGAAGCTACCATGAGTGAAGATGTTCAGCCACTTGACGAACACGCAGACGAGACTCTGTTGTCGCAGGCCTCTCAAATCAGTGTTCCTGAGAAAGAAGTAAGTATTTGTTTGGTGCGACGAGAAGGAAATCCAAAATGAGAGACGACAGGCACTAAACGATGCCCTGGGAAACCTCACAAGTGGACGCTTCAGTCCCATCCTTTCTACTTTAAATGCCTCATGGACGATATTTCATCTACCCAGCAAAAGTACTATATTCGCAAGGCCAGGGAAGCTGTTGCAACTACGCTGTCAGTCATTAGTACTAGGCAAGAAAACGTCCTTTGGAAATGTATCCAAAATGATTCAGACATAATCGAGAGGGACGAGAGTAGCTCATCCAAAGGAAAGCATTTCGACACAAACACTGGGCTCATTGATGTCTTGATCAAAGCTTATGATCAAGCGGAGTCGTGGTAAACTAAACGCCAGATCCTATCTCTTTTCGCAAATGACTTTAGCCGCAGAGATTTGCAAACGTTAATCCCTGGTATAACTAAGTGGAGAATTGACCAGGCTCGTCAGCATGCCACTGAGGCAGGAAAAGGACAAGTTGTTCCCGGACAAACAAACTTCCGAAAAAGAATTGATCAGGGAAAAGTTGATCATTTCATAAGCTATATTTCACAACCGCAGCTGCACCAAGATGTTGCATTTGGAACAAAAACTCTTAAGCTTGACTTTGGTGAACGTATTATCATTCCGGCTGTTGTGCGGACCTTGACTCCCTCTAGAATAATCGAACAGTACACAAGCTACCTACAGAGAGTAGCAGTTTGAACCGGCAACCACACGTTCTCTGTTTAGAATGCTCGAAATTTGCTCAGCGTCAATGCAGAGGTCCCTTCATGGGCTTGATAACATCACAGCGGAAGGGACTGAAGCATTTGACCACCTGCGCGCAATTATCTTCACTTTAGTGGAAAACGGGGCGGAGGGGCATTGGGCTGAAACAATGCGACGAGACTTGAAAGAAGCAAAAAGATATTTGAAGACGTACTATAAACGCACGTGGGTAGAAACGAAAACAACAGCGACCATTGTGCCGTACATGCCTTAAGCGACCCGCAGAATCCTGACTTCTATGAAGAATGTCTACACTCCCATGACATTCACTGTGATAGATGTGACTCCCTTGATTCGAATTTCTGCGACATATTAAAGAAGATCGATGACCTAGATATAGTCATCAGCGACGAAACGAGAGCAAGAGTAAAATTCGAGAATAAGGAGTGCTCTCGAGCAGTCCAAGCGTGGAAAGCACATTTACTTTGTTCTGTTAATCAGGAAGAAGCAAAACAGAACGCTCTTACTCAGCTTGACGAAGAAAGGTGCCTGATTATCATGGACTGGGCGATGAATTATCTGCCGCAGCACTACAGGGAGCAGATGTCTGAGTTCTTTGGCAAAAAGGGGTAGGCGCTGGAATATTAGTGCTGTAATAACACGCTCACAAGAGGAGGGCAAATGTGAAGTTGAATGCTTTGTGCATCTCTTCAACACTTGCGAGCAAAACATCTTCGCGGTTATGTCAGTCATTGAGCATCTACTCAGCACCATCAAGGTTGAGTACCCTTCAATTAACAAAGCTTTTTTACGATCAGACAACGCTGGTTGTTATCACAGTGGGCCCTCGATCCTCAGCCTTCCGTACATCGGGACAAGATCTGGTGTAATACCATTACGCTACGACTTTTCCGACCCCCAAGCCGGAAAAGACACACGATGATCGGTTGCTATGGGTTTTCCTCCCGCAACTTTAGTTACTTACTGGCGCAGAAATTGTTAGCGGCAGTTGGCGCCAAAAGCAAAAATCGAAAAACATTCTCAAAATAGCGGCAAGTAGTGGAAAAGTTATCGAAAGCCCAGGAAAGTTAAATTTGAGGCCTCTCGGGGTGGAAAGTGATACAGAAAGAGGGGACCGCTTTTGGAACAGAAATGTGGTGGAGATGAAATTTTCCGTTGAACATGACTGGATGAAGAGGGTTCGTTTCGCCGAGAGCAAGCCGAACTACGGGATGAGGGAGCTCGACCCCGTCCTGAAAGAGCTTACGGGGAATAAGCTTGAGCTCATTGGCGTCATGCTGGATGGGTTTATAAAAGAAATCGGGCTTTTAATTCATGCAAAGCTCGGCAGATCAAGGATGACTGGTCTCATGGCACCCGTCGTGTTATTTATGCCCTTCCAAATCTTCAGGCATCTGTGGGTCCTGCATGGTAGAAGGTTATGGCGGGAACATTGAATCCTCAAAGAAAGGAGAGAAAATAACGTTGACAATCACACGGCCCGACACGGCGGAGAAAATTTGGTCGCCAGCAAGATTTTGAGGAGAGAATTTTTTAAAGAAGCGACACTATGAAAAAATTCCCGAGAAGGGTCTAATAATTCAAACCTTCAGTGGCAAATCAATCGTTGTTGTCACGCAAGCAACTCTAATTAAAATAAAGTTCTCTATGAAACATCAGAGGATCACCACAACTTTTTACGTTCAGTGCTATCACCGAAATGGTTTTGCGAAGGATTCTAATTTACAGAAACTCATGAACTTGACCTAGCAACAACAGGACTGATTAGACTGATCTGTTTGAGCATCACTTTGACCTTAATTACTTGAAGTCAACAACAACAATTTCAAATGAAGATATTTCTTCCAGATATAAAAGGATTTTGATTACTAAACAACTTAAATATCTAGTCCAAAATAGAAAATAGAATACAATAAATGCATTATTACTACAAGGTAAAGCCACTATTAGTAACCTACAGAAGTAGTATAGTACATGGCGGCACCGGCGCATATCATATAATTATGGGGTACCGGCGCATATCATATATTATGGATTTGACCTTGGGATTTTGCTGACGTCAGCATTTTTGGATCCGGTTTGAACCCAAACCCTTTTAAAGAGATAGCGCCGCATACTAGTATGCAGATGGTGCGTTCAAATAAAAATAATATAATATATAGTAATAGTATGAAGACTAATCGTAAGGAACTTATAAGAAGATTGTTATCTGGGCTTACAGATAGTGAGCTCGAGAATTTAGTACGAGTGAGGGAAGAAGCACACCCTACTTCTGTTAGAAGGACTCCAATTCCAAAGCCAAGAAGGAATGTACAACAATTAATCCGATATTTTGAGAATAATCCCATCCCACCATATAGACCGATTCCAGCTCCCAGAACAAAGAAACAGCAGCCAATAGCAGTACCACGGACAAAAATTGGTGAAAAACGGAAGGCTCTTAAGGGCTTCACTAAATCATATGAGATCGGTTTGACGACTGATAGAGATGCTTTGGTGCAGCTTCAAAATGCGAGACTAGCAATTAGTAGGCTATTTAACACTATACTTAATAATACAAAAGGTTTCAAATTTGTGGTGACGTTAAAAGTAACATTTGTGAAGAGAAAGGATGATGATAATATTTATAAGCCAGCTTATTTCAATAGTAGAGCGCAAATAGTAATTAATCCTAATGATTTTTTATCAAGCTTGCAATTATCACAGCAACAAATATTAAACGGTATTGGTGTTTGGTTGTCTGAGGGTAGTGGTTGGACTGTTAGTAGTATCAATGAACATTATATAAATACAGTAGTGTATGAGCCGATGAGAGGTAATTCCTATATTCCTCTACCGGTAAAATTACAGAATTCTGCTAAGGGGCTAATTAATCTTCAAAATAAGGATATTGAATGCTTTCGCTGGTGTCATATACCATATTTGAATCCGCAAGAAAAGGATCCCCAGCGGATCAAAAAGATTGACAGAAAAATGGTCCAGGAATTAAATTACCAAGGAGTGGAATTCCCTGTCGCTGCTAAACATTATGGTAAAATAGAAGAGCAAAATAGCATTAATATTAATGTGTTTGGTTATGAGAATGAGCAATTTTATCCAATTCATGTCTCAAAGCATAAAAACGAGAAAGTATTGAACCTGCTGTTGATTACACAGGGTGAGAAGCAACATTATGTTTTTATTAAGGATTTTAATAAGATGATGTACAATAAGACTAAACACCAACACCGTAAACATTTTTGTATGTTTTGTCTCCAGTGTTTTAGCACTGATGAGATACTAGCAAAACATAAGAGCAATTGCATGATAATAAATGGGGAACAGGCAATAAGGATGCCCGAGGAGGGTAGTACGGTCCAATTTCAGAACTATCATAAGCAGATGCCAGCACCTTTTGTAATTTATGCAGATTTCGAGGCAATTACACAGAAAGTATCTGGATGTCAACCAGATGGTGTTAAATCTTATACCGATAAGTACCAAAAGCACACTGGCTGTAGTTATGGTTATAAAGTAGTCTGTTGTTATGATGACAAATATTCAAAACCAGTGAAAATTTATCGAGGGGAGAAATCTGTTAGCTACTTCATATTGGATATGCTCTCGGAAGTAGAATATTGCCAAAAAATGATTGCTACTGAGTTCCAAAAACCACTCCAGATGACGGACGAGGAGGAAGAATTATTCAAGGTTGCCGAGGAATGTCATATTTGTGGGAAGAAATATTTAGATAATGAAGTAAGATTCAGAGATCATTGTCATATCACTGGACAGTATAGGGGATCAGCACACCAGGACTTTAATTTAAAGCTAAAGCTTGACCCAAGTAAATTTAAGGTGCCAGTCATTTTTCATAATCTGCGTGGGTATGATTCCCATTTTATAATGCAAGAAATTGGATCAATCGGAAAAGGTAATAATTTGAGCATTAATTGTATCCCGAATAATATGGAAAAGTATATGGCTTTCATGCTGGGTAGACACTTAGTATTTCTGGATAGTTTTCAGTTTATGGCCAGCAGTTTGGAGAGATTAGCCGCTAATTTACCAACCAATGCGTTTAAGTATACCAGTCAGGTGTTCCAAGATGAGAAATTAGGACTGATGAAACAGAAAGGAGTGTATCCTTATGATTACATGGACAGTTTTCAGAAGTTTGGTGACCAGCAACTACCACCAAAAGAGCAATTTTATGGTATTCTTACAGATGAGGGTATTTCTGATGAGCAATATCAATATGCCCAAAAAGTCTGGAATACTTTTAATATGAGGACAATGGGTGAGTATCATGATCTGTATTTGAAGTCTGATATTCTCGTATTAGCTGATGTTTTTGAGAATTTCCGTAAGACCTGCCATCAGTATTATAAACTAGATCCTTGCCACTATTTCACATCCCCCGGCTTGAGTTGGGATGCTATGTTGAAAATGACCGGTATAAAATTGGAGCTCATGACGGATGTTGATATGTTCCAATTCATAGAAAAGGGATTGCGTGGTGATATTTCTTATATTGCTAACCGACACGGGGAAGCTAATAATAAATATATGAGCGGGTATAATTTAGAGAAACCAAGTAAGTATATTATGTATCTAGACGCTAATAACCTTTATGGATGGGCGATTTCTCAATATTTACCAACAGGTGGTTTTAGGTGGATGACTGAAAAACAAATAAAAAAAGTTAATCTCGCTGCTTGTACAGAAGACAGAAAAATGGGTATGATTTTAGAAGTCGATTTGGAATATCCTAAAGAATTACATGAGCTGCATAATGATTATCCTCTAGCCGCGGAGAAAATGAAAGTTACCAAAGAAATGCTTTCTCCTTATTGCAAAAATATTCAGGGGCAGTTTGGAATAAGTATTGGCCAGGTTGCTAAGCTAATTCCAAGACTATCTAGTAAAAAGAATTATGTGTTACACTACAGAAATCTACAACTCTATTTGTCTCTAGGTCTTGAACTAAAGAAAATCCACAGGGTATTAGAATTTGACCAGTCTCCCTGGCTCGCACAGTACATTAATTTTAACACCCAAAAGAGGATGAACGCTAAGAATGCATTCGAGAAGGACTTTTTTAAACTATTAAATAATTCCGTATTTGGAAAAACAATGGAAAACATAAGAAAGCGCGTCGACGTGAGATTAGTGACTGATCAAAAGAAGTTATTTAAGCTTGTGAGTAAGCCGACGTTTGGATGGGCACTCAAAACGGTAAAGAAACCGTCGAGAATGGAGGCTCATGTAAAAGCGTATTTGGTTCAGAAGTTTGACACAGGCTGTAGAACTGGGCAAAAGGCAGATCCGGTTCAGGTCGATCGGGAAAAAAAAGTCGTTAAGGTCCAGAAATTCTACATTTCAAGTAAATGGGAAAAAGAATTCTACAGAAAGACGACGTCTTACCTCGAGCAACCGAGCCACCATTTTTGCCAGCACTAACTTCATGCGAAGAATGACACAACAAACCTTTTTGGCTAACAGAAAACAACTCAGCTCTACTTCAAACCTAACTATAGTCTTCTAACTTCTACTACTTCTAACCTAGCTATAGTCTCGATAAAGCTTTTCAATTGCCAGAGTTTTAGGCAAAATTATTTTCCACACGAAATTGAGTGGGCGGTTTTACTGAGACAGCCTCTTCCAAGGACGCTTTGCATAATTCCGGCTTCCGGTTTCCAGTTTGAAAGTAAACGAGGCTTAAGATATATAGTGTTTCAAGATGGAGGAAGGCACGAAGAAACAAAGTCAAGGAGACGAGTGCTCGTTTTTTAGTTGCTTAAATAGAATGTACGATGCGACAGCGAAAAAAAAACACGCTTTAGATTTTTTACATTTCCAAGGAATGAAAAGATTCGTCGAATTTGCGGAAAACCGTGTGGCGAGAAAGTCGGGGAAAGACGGTTTCCGTATAACCAAGGTAACTGTGGCTTGCAACGTCCATTTTCAAGTAGATGACATATTGCGTGTCCCAGGGGGGAGTTGGTGAACTTTAAGGAAAGGAGCAGTCCCACTAAAATGGAATGAACGACGCAAGGTAGACGAAAAGAAAAGAAAAGTTCCAGGACAACGAGAAACGTCACTGAATGTAAACAAGTCACCGCCAAAAAACTCGAACAAAGATCACTCTGTCAAACAGTTGTCGACGACGTCAGAGGTAGTACAATTGGGAAATGCGAACGTCGATTCACTCCGTGTCTCAGCGTCTAAAGCTCTGTGTAAACTCGATAACGAGCTAGATGAGAAAGTTAAACTTCTCAGTAATACTAAGGACAAAAGTCCAATTTTTTCTGCGATTAATATGACCGATAATGAAAAATGTAAGCATTATACTGGTTTCCCCAAATATGCAGTGTTTATGGTATTGTTTGATTTGTTAGAGCCTGGTATGAATGGTGAGAATGTCAAGCTTGAGTCAGTTCCCAGTGCTTACACAAGTTGTGCACGTAGACGACGGCTCATTGGCAAAGAGCAGTTTCTCTTAACACTGACGAGGTTAAGGAGAGGCTTCTCCACTTAACGTCTGGAGTGGCTGTTAGAATTGACAAAAGTACAGTCAGCCGAATATTCGTCAGTTGGGTGAACTTCATTTACCTTTGTCTGTCAGCAATTCCAATTCGGCCAACAAGGGAACAAGTCGATCAAACCGTATATGCCCAAACCTTTAAAACGACAATGGGATTCTGTGCACAATAGTATCTGACGTGACTCAAGATGACACTTCGAGGGTGTAGCGATCTTGATTTTCCTTTGTACATGAGTCTGATATTCCCATCCCTCTGGATATTCCGGGAACATCCTTTTACGCCTCAACGGATGTGTTTCTTTTGTTTCCCACCTTTACCATGGGCGTTTACCTGACCGAGAGATAGTGGAAAGAAGTGGTCTTCTCAACCCAAACATGTTTGATAATGGCAGATAAAGGGTTTAACATAAGAGGTCTTACTGACAAAATTGGGGTGAGGCTTAACTTGCCATTTTCTCTTGGATCCAGGGGGTCAATTTGAAGCGAATGAAACTGTTATTAACCAGAAAATAACTTCCAACAGAATACACGTGGAACCCTTTATAGATAAGGTGAAAACTTTTTGACTTATAGACAGAACGGTTCCACTAGCTAGCTGTCTCTGCATGGATCTATTAATCGGTTGTGGACAGTTGCAGCTCTGTAATTGACATTGTTTCACTATCGAATCATATCTGCATGAATGACTAGTGACCTGAGCACCAAACTGCGGTGGAATATAAGAGGAGGAGTCAGACTTACTGTTTAGAGAAACAAGATTTATCAGACGTTGAAAAAAAGTACCACTTTTATTTTTCTACAGTCAGTAACCAATATGTAATTTTTGCTAACAATATCAATGGTTTTTAATGTAATTATAATAAGAAAAACATATGCAGGGTTAAAGTTATAACAGTGAAAGTTATAACTCATGGGATAGTATTATTCTTGAAATGTGTTTCAAGCTTAAGTTCTTTCAGATGTTCTGCTCTGGCATAGGACAAATTGCATGCAATTCCCTTGGATTCTGTTGCCGCCTTTGTGGTACTGTCCAACCAGATGGTTTTGAAGTACAGGATAGAAGCTTAGGGATGCACTTCGATTCTTCCACAGAAAATTTGGAAATGACCTTCATTAGTGCATACACGTGATTACACCAACCACCCTTGCCAGCTCTGCATGTACAGTAAGCATCTTTAACAGCTGAAGATGACTTTTTTTTTTATAGCAAAGCACAGTTTGTAATTTTCCTTTCTGTAGCTAGCTCGATCATCTACAAAAGGCTCGAACAAAAATAAAATTACGATCATTCAAGCAGCTAATGTTGAACTGGAAATTATCATTTAACAGCTGTTCAGTTCTCTTACTCAACTTAGCGGTTTTTCCAGAGTCTTTAAAAAAAATGTCTCTTTTTCTCTAAAAGTGAACAAGGTCAATCCATCCAAACTTCTTGTCCGAGGACGCACTGCGTCTGATGAGGAGGTTCAGTAATTTCCTGTAAATAAAATGAGTCCCGTTAGACATTAAATACGTTGGAAGAATATGATAATAAAGAACGCCCAGGCAGATCTGTTATGTAATTTTTCGGAGTAAATTTAGCTACACATTGAGCATTTAATCAATCAACAACAGTGGAACGGTTTGTCAGCAAGTTTTCAACTTACCTCGTCTAAAATCCTATTCACTGTTATCACTCGAAACACCTTGATCAAAATTCTCTTGAGCATGTTGATTTGTAGTTCCAGTTTCAGTGCCATCCGATTGCGTTTGTAAAAGACTGTCGTGAGGGTTTAATACGGCAGATGTTCTTCCATTCTTAAAGGAACAGTATCCCGTTACTGCGCATGCACAAAACTTTGATTTTTGGACTGGATGTCGCGAAATCAAAAGATGCGAGGGAAGTAAGAGAACCTTGAAAAATCCGTTTGCATCGCGCTTGGCCGAGTTCAATACTACAATTAAACTTCTCAGGATTACAGATCAATGATATACTGTGCCTGTTAAGTTTCGATTTGGGCGAAATCTAGATTTTTCGGCGTTACTTTGCCGTTGGCCGGAGGACCAAAAGATGGGAAGCGCTTTGATGCCGATTGAAGACTTATTTCTTCTGCTAGCTTCCATGCAAGCTCAGATAATTGTGAAAGGAATACGCAGAAATGAAACAGCAACAATAAAGACTTTAAGAAAGAAACCATTGAGACATTGATGTGACTGAGGAGATCTTCTGGAGGGGAGCATCGTGAAGCAGAATGATTTGCAACGACGCGTTACTAGTTAAACTTTTAAATGAATCTCCCCACGGCCGACATTTCAAACAAACAGGAGCTACACGTTTAGAAAAACTAGTTCCATGGAATCATAATATAATTTTTGACTAACCTTTGCGATGATTCATAGCGTTGAGATTGCATTTCTATTTATGTCTTTCAAACGTTTGAGGCTAGAACGCGGGCAAATCAGGCAGATATTACTGGAATTGGAACAATTGACCTCTGTCACGAGTTTCAATTAGAAAATCTGTTTTTAAAGCGAGCGGAAAGAGATTTTCGGGTCGCGAGGAGGCCCTGCTAGCGATAAAATTGCGATGAGTCTTCCTGCCGAGAGCCAAATTTTAAATAAGACGAAAGACTTTTTCCAAAGTCTAAAATATTACTTGAGAATGTAAACAACAAATCTCCGTCAGCGGTGCTGTCTGGAAGGAAATCTTGTCAAGTCAATTTGACAGTTCTATTGTCTTTGAAGAAAAAACAGATGACGCTCGCGCGTGCGCATAATCGGGACACTGTCCCTTTAAAGTATTCTTGTATTCTAAAGATAATTTGTGAAAAAGAAAGCAAAGTAAGCTTAAGGAGGAGCCCTAGGTTTATGTTTGATAACTGATTATTCAGATTATTTGACAACTTGCTAGACTTCCCTTTGAATACACGCCGCTTTCGTTTGCAGTTTTTTAAAGTTATCTTCCCTACATTTCAGCCAAAATTAAAGCTTATCAATTCTATATGAAGCTAAGCTTGCAAGATTTAGGTTTATACCAGTAAGTCAGTACGTCCAGACCTTCCAGTTGTGTCAGCCATGACAGTACAGCGTGGTCAAAGATACATCTTAAGCCTCGCTTTCGTGCAACCGGAAAACGGAAGTCAGAATTATGCAAAGCCTCTATTATAGTTATGATGTTGTCTCATTTTTGTGAGCGAGAGCGAACCAATCTCACACAGATCGCGATTGCTTGAGTAGCAAACACCTGTAATAACACGAGCGGCTAGTTTGTGCAACTTCTGGAGCTTATCTGCCCAACCTTTATGCCACTCCTATGTAAAGTTGTTCTCATTAGAACAATCCTTACTGGCCTTATGCTTATTATGGTTACATTACATTAATTTTAACTTTTACGCTTAAAAATGGTTACCACGTTTTTTTTTCACAGAAACAGAATGTATTTCAACCCTCTCAAGAACTCGACCTTCGGCGAAAAAGAGGGGATTATACGCCTCTATATCTGTGCCTTTTAAGTAGTGCAACTTCAACGTAAGTTATTAAAACTACTCATGTACTTTGTTTGCAGCTTATCAGAATTGAGCTTACACTAGTATCCAACTGTTATGACTGAGTTCACCGCATACCCAAAGGGATTAGCCACTAATCTTTTTACATATTGTCAATTCAGTGATACTAACTTAAACGTAACAAAACCGTTTCCCACGGGGCAATCTCCAGACAGCAAACGCCAGTTATTATTAGGTGCAAACGAACCTCCTCCGCCAGCGCCGCTAAGATCCAGATTTTCGCTCTTCCCGTCCACTTGAGCACCACCACCGGAGTACCCACCCCCTCCCCCACAATTCCCACCACCACCAAACCCTCCAGCACCACATCCGGCCTTCTTGTTATAACCTCCCACTCCACCGGCGGAAAATGATTTACCTCCGTCGTTCCCTGGACATGGTTTGTTGCATTGTCCATCTTCATAGCAGCGTCCATTGGTTAATAGGCCACCACCTCCTCCGACACCAACTAAAGATTGAAAGGCGGCATCTGACACACAAACCTTTCCTCCCTTTCCTTTCGAACCACCATTTACGCTACCTTTTTCACTTGCTTGTCCAGGATCACCATCTACAATTTCAGCTGCACCCCCACCCCCAGCCACAGCTAAAGGCTTGCCATCTGCAGCAAATACAACAAACGTACCACCCCCACCACCCCCACCAGTTGCTTCTTGCCCCACTAAGACCCTCAGCTGTGTTCCCTTTTGCAGATGAACGCTTCCTTTTACTTTGGCGCCTCTTCCACCTCTGGTGTTATAAAACCCATTGTCCGCTCCTGAAGCTCCACACAGCTCAGCTTGATACTGGCCCGTCACTGGAACAATCCACGTTTGTAGGCCCTTTTGAACTGAGATCCCTTGCAGCGAGGTGCCTCGGTAATGTGCATTACTGGTTGGTCCAAATCTCCCCGTAGCTCCAAGAGAAGTAAAGTTATAGTAAATGTCTGTGAGGCGGAAATAAAGACAAACTCACTTATTCAGTGGCTGTGAATGGTTATATAAATGGAGAAAATAAGAAGATAATGAATTTCGGGTTTTTGTGGCACTCGTAATCCTTTTAATGCCAAGGACGTATATATACGTCCAAAGAGACAAGTTCCCGGTACCGAGGAAGTATATATACGTCCTCTCCCTAGAATAGTTTTATTTTTTCCAGTTGCTCGGCGTTTTCGTCCGTGGTTGTTTGAAAGGGTTTGAAGGAATTGAATAATGTTAACCGCTGACCTGAGATTTTTAAGGAGGTCACCGATCACAAGGTGGTTGTGAAGTGTTGAAAGAAGCTGCCATGATAGTTGTGACTAACATGCCAGATCTCCTAGATTTTCCCTGTATTACTTCTACCCGGATTTATAAAAACCGGGGTAGCAAACATTTTGTAATTTATCTTAACTTCCTCTGTCTTAGCTTGTTTACTGTGTGGTTTTGTTTATGTCGTATCTTTTCTTGGTTGGTAGTTAGGGATTTTTGTAGAAGTGGCTGTAGATATAATTTCGCGAATTCACTTTCTATCTACCCCGCCCCCTCCCTCTTTGGTCTTTTCCCGTCTCTACCCAGATCTCGCTCTCTAACACAAGTGACAGTTATTTGAAATTAGTGCGCGCCTAAAGCTGGTTTCGATGCCGAAGCGCTTAGCAGTAGTTTATATTTCGTTGTTTGTCACCTTGAGCCTAGAAAAGTTTCCCGGAGGGTATCATGCAAAGCTGTCAGATGGGACATATATGTGATAAATACGATTCGCAGAGCGGTCTGCATCGTCCAATGTCTTCCCGTACTCTCTTTTCATTTGACTACCAATCACCCTGATCGGCGCTGAAACAGAAAGGTATGATACTGCTCGCTTTTCCCGGGTGACAAAAAAGTTTTGCCTCGAAAACAAGGCTAAAATAAGAGTCAAATCTATTTGGCCAAGACTTTTTTTCTGGTGTGAAAACAGAGTTTATGCTGGTCTGCCGACAGAGTGAGGAGTCTAGTGACAGAGCGGAGCTTGAATAAGACGAGTGTAAGAGAAACGTCTAGAGGTGTTTATCTGCCAAAAACCTGTAGTGAGTTTTTCCTGGTTATTTCATGAGATATGGCTTGTGTTCAACGTGAAAAGATTATGCGTGATTGTGGATAGTCTTATCAGCGCCACGAAAGTGCATATTTGTGTGATTTCCGGATGGTGTTGATAGAAAGAACACAGGTTGTGATTTCGTGGCTCAGTCGTTGCACTAAAAGTTTCTGTTCCAGCTATAAAAACAAACGCTTCGTCGGTGTTTAGCTCAGGTGAATGTGTCTTGGAAAACTCGACTCAGGAAAATCTATTCCATGCCAAATTCTGTCATTTATCAGTTCGAGAAAATAGCATGATATTTAAGTTGTTATGTAACCCTCAACCAGGCACTTTTTGACTGCATTTCACTCTACTAAATATTTTATAGACTGAAATGACACCGTTTTGAAACTTCACTAAGTCAGATTACTGAATAAATGTTCTAAAATTTGGACTCAGTGAGCTGCTATCAGGGACCTCTTACTTACTGCCTGGCATCAGATACTGGTTTTTAATATCAGCCTTTGAATGATTTTTCATTGTTTGTAAATTGTCAAGTAGTAGAAGGAGTTGATTCTTTTTGCTAGCCCGGTTTTTAAAAATCCGGGTATACTTGTAATATTGTTTAAAAAGGAGGTTGAGACTGATCGTCCCGGTGAAAAAGGAGTCCTGAATAGGAGTGTTGCTGTTGACAGTGACTGACGTTTGGACAACCTGTGCAGTACTCAATTACAGAGTCAAAGTGAGTTGTACCACGTCAGTTGATGGTATTATACTCTTGTTATTGGCCTGATCGGTCAATTACTTTGCGATGTTGTTGGTCGCGGTCTGTCAGCTAAGCCGTGATGTTATTGGTTATGAAGACTCGTAATGTAATTGGTGCGTTTCGATCCGTCTATTGTCAGAGTCAAACAGTCGTCTATTGTTAGTCAAATTGTCAGTTGTCCAGTCGTTCTCTCGTAGTTAGTTTTGCTTGATTTCGTGAATAAATCGTTTGTACAGTGCCGGTAACTGTTGACTACTATTCAGTGGCGTTGGTTCTAAGCTAGTAAACCAGCTTTCTAAAGTGAGTCGTTGATAGTAGTCTGTAGAATACGTAATACATGTCGCAAAGCCCCAGTCGATTTGATGTTTCGTCTGTAAATGGTGTTCAGCGATGTTATTGTTGACGTCACCATTTCTCGTCGCTCGTTTGTGTTCGGTCGGTCGCGTGCTAAGGTTTCTGCCGGCTTCACCAATGTAAGTAGCTTGGCAGTCGCAGCATTTGATCTTGTATACTGCTCCCTGTCTTTCCTCCGGTTTGTCTTTGTCTTATAGATCGTTTTCATGTGACGTCACATCATTTCCGGTCGCCATATTTGTGTACAACTTTGGATAGTCTAAACATATGCAAATGTGAGTCACATCTATCATTTTTGCCTTTAAAATGAATAATTCAGCAGATCAAGCAAAGTTAAGTGGAAATCCCGATGGAACTAGCTTTATTCCTCTTTCTGAGTACGCCAAGAAGTTAGAGCTACGAGTCAAGCAGCGTTATATGGAGAAAATTTCGGCGATTGGAATCGATCCCGTGCTCATTGAGAGTAAGAATTTTGAACCAGACTGCCTGCCTCCTGTGGAATGCACAGATCTTCTTTTTTATCTGGTGTTAGAGACGAGCTTCTATACGCAACAACAGTTTAAAGCTTTCCGAAGCCTGGAAGCCTATAATCAAATGGTTTCGGGATTTATTACCAGCGTAAAAGGCCACATAATCGCGAACAAGTTTGTTGTGTTAGCCAAAGTAAGACATTCGCAAAGAATGAATGACTCTTTGATCCCTATCTGGATTATAACAGAAAGAGAAGGAACAGTTTTATCTGCTCATTGCCTAGGTTGCAAGGCCGGGTTAGCGGAATCATGTTCGCACATCGCAAGCGTTTTGTTTTACTTAGAAGCATGGACGAAGATAAATGGAAAACTTGCGTGTACGCAAGTTAAATGCTCGTGGCTTCTTCCCGCGTACGTAGACCACGTGGAGTACTCAATGGCACGGGATATAAACTTTACTTCCGCTAAGAAAATGAAAACTGACTTAGATTCGAAAATATCTAACCTTCAACCGGGAGTTTCGAATTCTGATCCACTGGAGACTTATTCTCCAATCCCAGGTTATGCTAGTTCTGGAAAGAAAATTTCACCACCCACAGAAGCAGAGATGGACGCCTTTTACGCAGAACTTAGCAAGTGTAGTGAAAGCAAACCCATTGCTCTTAGTCTAATTCCTGAGTTTGCACAAAGTTATGTCCTCAAAAGTCGCTCAATCCCAACAATCAATGATCTTTTCGATAAAAAGTATCTGCAGTTAACATATCCGGGACTGTTAAAGGTTTGCAGTAATGTAAAGGTTCAACTTTCCAAGGAGCAGATTGAACAAGTGGAGAGGGACACCATAAGCCAGGCAAGGGGGAACAACTTTTTTAAACACAGAGCTGGCAGAATTGGGGCTTCCCAGAGCAAAGCAGTATGTAAAACAAATCCTGCTTTGCCCTCTCAGTCCCTTATTCAGTCAATTTGTTATCCTGAACTGACCAAGCTAAACACAGAAGCAGTCTGTCATGGCTGTAAACATGAACAGGATGCAATAAATGCATATGAAAATGTAATGAAACAGAAACATGTAAACTTTAAAGTTGTCAAATGTGGGCTAATGATAAATGAAGAGTATCCCTGGATACATGCTACTCCTGACTTCCTGTGTTCCTGTGACTGCTGCGGTGAAGGTTGTGGTGAAGTGAAATGCCCCCTGTGTGTTGAAAATTGCAATTTCGAGAGCTATGTGTTGACACCATCATCTTGTCTAGAAAAGGACAGTACTGGTAACTTTAACTTAAAGAAAAGTCACCAATATTTCTACCAGTGCCAACAACAAATCTTTACCAGGAGGAAACAGTACTGTGACTTTGTAGTTTGTGCATTTGATCATGATGGGAAAGCCAAGCATGTGCAACAGAGAATTTTGCCTGATGCAGATCACTGGAAAGCTGTGGTACCAAAGCTAACTAATTTTTGGAGGAAATGCATTTTACCCGAGGTGCTTGGAAGGTGGTATTCCAGGTGTCATTATGATAAACCGGCAGTGACCGACTCAGTTTGTTATTGCAGAACAGCAACGACTGAAGACACCATAAGCTGCTGCAACCCAAAGTGTCAAATTGGCCAGTTCCATCCCACATGTTTGGGCATTGACAGTATTCCCCAGTTGTGGTACTGCCCAAACTGTAGAACAAATCCAGAGTTTAAGAGGGCAAAAAAAGGAAAGAAAATTACAGCACAAGCAGATGCTCTGAGATTAGATTCTGTTTGTGTGTGTAAACAGAAACCAAACTTAACCGACAGGCTCTTAGAGTGCCACAACTCTAGTTGCCAAAATGGTAATTTTTTTCATTTGCCATGCATCAACCTAAAACGTATGCCGAATAATAGTAATACCACTTGGCTTTGCCCAGCTTGCAAAGGAAGCAACATGAAACAAGGAAAATCTTCCTCAACCTCCTCAGCTGACGTGACTTTCGTAAAAACAGTAAAACATGCAACATCCCATAACAAACACAAGTCTCTTGGAAGTCTTGGTCAAGCTGAGTTTGACCTCATTGCATCCCCCACTGGATGGCTGGACTGCTCAATTGTCCATGAAGCACAGCTACTGTTGCAAAAGATCAATCCAAACATTGAAGGGTTTCAGAGACCAACACTTGGTCCTGTCAGACAGTTTGACACAATGACATCAGAATTTATTCAACTTCTGCATGTAGGCAATAATCACTGGGTGTGTTTGACCTCGATTGGATGCCCCCCTGGTGAAGTGCAGTTACTGGACAGTCTCATGAAACCAGTGATAACTCAAGAGATACAGGAACTTGCCCAGAATTTGTATGGTCCAAACTTAAACAGAATTACAAACATGCCAGTTCAGCAACAAACCAATGGCAGTGACTGTGGCGTGTTTGCAGTTGCATTTGCAACATGTCTTGTGTATGGGCAAAATCCATGCAATGTTACTTTTGATGTTCCTAAAATGCGTCCTCATTTGATTCAGTGTCTGAAAAGAGGTTGCATGAACCTTTTCCCTACCACTTGAATTTCTTTGTGAATGACAAACATTCGGTTAACAGAAACAATTCAATTTAATGTTTATTACACCACCTTACACTTACAATAACTGAGGGGTGGATATAATGAAGCCTTTAGTGACCTCTGATTTTTCTTTCATAAGGTCTTGTACTTAAATATTGTAATGAAATACATGAAAAAATTACTCAATTTTGATTAACTGAGAGCAGTGCAGTTCAACTGTAACACCACTGCAAAAAGTGAAACACAAGTGCAAAAGGTGTAACAGCAATGCAAATTACACATCGAAATTCTGGATTCTGATTGGCTGAAAGACTATAGGAAATCTTCTAAGCCAATGATATCACGTAACATGATCAGGAAAACTTTTTGCAGAAACTTTGAAAAAAGTTTTGTCGAGTGAGAAAAAATGTGGGCCACATTTAATCAAGAAAGGTTTGCTCCGGCACTTCGTACACGCGACTCTTTTCATATTTATATTATTAATAAGTAATCATACAATTTTTCTCATTCAATTTGGAATTAATTTGCACTTGTGAGTTTTTCAAAAAAGCTGAAATTGTACTCGCCAAAGCGGCTGGTGAAATTTCACCTTTTTGAAAAACTCACTCATGCAAATTAATTCCAAATTGAACTTGAAGCCGTATGATCACCTATACTAAAACAACATAAAATTTCAAATTATCTTGGAGTCACTTATGGCTATATCCCATGCACCCCTCCAAATATTTTGATGATGTATTCAATATAATATTACTTATTCCAAAAATGTGTTTTGAGGCAAGGTAACTGGAGGCCGGTGGGGAAGGGGGAGGGGTGGAAGGGGAAATGATTATTTCCTTTGTCTATATTAACATTTTCATAATGCTGAGTGGTGATTAAAATGCTTTTCCTCCTTAGTATAATAGTTTCTTTTAAAAAAGTTCAGTCAAGAGGCACAATGCCTGGGCATAAATTAATAAGTGCAGCACATACAGTGATGATTCTGTCAATCATGGGTACTGATTCATTTTCAGTTCCACCCGGCTTGCATGTTAAAAAGTCAATGGGCAAGACTCCAGACAAAATGGTAAATTTCCTGCGAAGTAGTCCAATCACTCTCTCTACATGAATGCGTACGTTAGCAATGCCTCTTGTTTTCTCAACATCCACAGGATCAAGTTGATCTTTTCCTCTGGTAAAGGCAGGAATGGCCAGTTGGGCTTGCTGAAACATCACTCTTTCGTGGATTGTGAAGCCACGATCTGCCAAAATCAGATCTCCAGGCAAAAGCTTTTTCAGTATTCCACAATTTTCAGTAAGAAATTTGTCAGATGTTCTCCCTCCCCATGCTTTTGAAACAAAGGAAATAGTTCCTTGGGGAGTTATTCCAATTAATACTTTGACAGTATTATGATGCTTATAGGAAGAGAATGTCTGTGCCCTAGCGAGAAGATTAGATGGCCTGCATATAAAAATTTCAAAACAATCGATAATTACTGTTGTTTTCTTGCCAAATGAAACATGAAAGCACTGTGGCATTGTTTGCCACAAGTCTTCTCGATCGGGCCACTTGATGAGGGGTGACAGTCTGACATCCAAAGCAACCATCCATGCAGAAAATATCCTTGAAACTGTCGGCAGTGACACATTGAAACGGTAAGATAAATCTTTGAAAGGCATGTCAAGTTTCAGCTTCATCAGTGTCATAATGAACTCCTGAAATGATGTCAAATTTTGTGATTTACGGCTTACGTGTGGAGAAACTTGCAAGAAAACAGTGTTAAGGATATGGAATGAAGGAAGTCCTGTATAAAACTTGACTTTCTCGTTGTCACTCTTAAATTCCCACTGATCAAATGGAGGTTTAATGTTCGGTGGGCTGACAAGGTAGTCAAACTCTTCGGATTGTGTGCCAGTGTCCACACATAACTTCGTGTCGGTTTGTGTTCCTTTCGCTGTAGGAGTCTCCAGACTATCTTCTGTGCTAAAGTCGAAGTTTAAATCAAAAATTTGCTGCCCTGGTTCGGTAAGTTTTGATCTCTTCACTTCCCTCTCGGCTTCGAGTTCCTTCTCTCTTTTAGCAAATGCCGGCTTCTTTACAAGCTCGCGTTCTCTTGCCCTCTCACTTCTTTTTGCCGCTTGTTCTCGATCTGTTCGGCTGGTCTTCTTATTATGTCCCACATTCAGAGTTGGGACCCAGTCAACGTTGAATTTATCCCATGGTTTTGCGGCTCTTCCAGAAACAAAGTGCTTCTCACACACGCGATCGTTCTCCAAAATGGTATCGGTGAGGTCGTCCCTGCTGATCGCCAAAATCCACCGCGATCTTCTTTCTTCTGACAAATCTCTCGCTTCTTTTCCTTGATTTTCAATGATCGAAGGTACTTTGGCAAAATATAATCCTTTATCCCGTCCACTTCTATTTCCACAGCCCACAATCAAGCACAACACCATCTTCCTTCAAAGAAAGCAGTCGATTTGTTTACGATATCTGTACACAAATATGGCGGCGTAGCAACCGTTGTCAGGGATTTTGTCACGTGAGTGAAAACGATCTATTTATAGTCCCTGTCGTAACTTGGCCAGAGCTGACGTTGGTCTGAGTGTTGGAATCAGTGTTACTGTGAGTGTTCAGTCTAACAAAGTCTGTGTTGTTGTTGTTCAAGGCAGGAATACAGCAAGTCCTCAAATGGCGAAAAATACATTTTCGTGAAAAAATCCAATATGCCTATCGGATGCTAGGTGTGAGTGTGTTTGGGTTTGGATTGGCATTTAAAGCCGAGATTATCATTATTTTAAGATGTCTTAATTTTAGTAAGCTGCCAAATATTGTTCAACGCTGAAAAGAAGCTCTCCTAGCTGCTATTGGTGGTCATGTACCAGCGATTTGTTTTCAGTCAAAAATAAAACATGGCTGCTTATTGGCTGTAAGCATTCTTGTATCATTTCAGTCTGATCATGCATCAATTGAAAAATAATTTGGAGAATTTCCCTGGGCTCATTTCATTTGGATTAAAAAGGTTAACGTCTTACCTGTCTTTATTTGGCAACTCTCTCCTGTCCATGGGAGAAAACATTTGCAACGGAACTTTTGGTTTTCTTGGTTAAAATAACATTGGCCTTGGTTGAGACATGTCATCTGCTTGCAGCCCTCCTGTAACAAACCAGGCAAAGAGAAGAGAAGAATAGACTACTGCCAGTTCATTTAAGTAAATTAATAAAATTACTCGACTTTATTAAAGTGTCTAATAACGTGTCTAGCACGAAAGTACTAAATTAGGAAACTGTTTTTACGTAGCCTCATGGAGACTGGACCGCGATTTCTACCTGCATGACAATCGAGCCAGCAAAGGTCTAGCCGTTTCGTGGCAAAGACAGCCCTTTTTTTACACAATACCTTGAGTACGTACTAGGCCAGTGCGGAGATCGAATTCAAGATGGTCTGCCGCTCTGCAAACCAAAGATGACCAGCTAAGTTAACTGACCATGATAATATTGGTTAAGGCTTGAATCGGAACAAACTGAAATCCTGAGCTGTTTAGACTGCACAATTCGCAGCGCAAGAAAAAAAAATGCGGTAGAAAATTAACAGCAGTTGGGAAAACAGTTCACGATCACAGTCTTCGTTCTAGTAGTTCTCATTGTGGCAGCCGTCGGACAGTAAGCACCAGGATCCCTAGGGCAGTTTACTTTTTGCGCAAATGTACACCAGTATATAAATTCCGTAAACGTGTAAGGAAATTTACCGACCGGATAACATTTCTTAATTTTTCTTAACATTTAAAAATATCTTTCCGATTTACACATGTACGGAGCTGAGAGTCTAAAGTAAGCCTAGTATGTGAGTTGCTCGCTCTGCGGAGTAATGAGCTCCGTCCTAATAGCACATTTAACGTGCCAAGTAACGTCTTTTTACTCTGATTGAACGTGAAAGCTTCATGACCACTGTACAGTTCTTGGATTATTATACGTTTCTGGGAAACTGCCCACCTACCCCTCCCCTACACCAACATCAACACTTACTTCTCACTTAAGGCAAAATGTTGGCTTATGGAAGGGGTAGGTGGGCAAATGATCCCAGTCTTCGGCTTCCTAGTATACTATTGGAGAACCCTTCATAGTTGTCAACAACGAAAGCTGAAGTCTCTTAAAAAAATTGCTGGGCTGTGACTGATGTAGGATTTGTCACAAGGCGGATGCTCGACTCTTTAAAAAGTGTGAATGAGTCTTTTCTTTAATACGTATATTATCAGTGAACTTAATTTTTGCGATTTTAAAAGTTTTCTCGAAGATTTTGCGACCCCCATTATCATCAACTCTGAGTCTCTCCACAAGGATCCATAAAAAGGAATTGATGTCATTTAGTTCTGTGCATATCAAGGACTCAAATGTCCTCGTAATTATTGTTAAAAGCAAAAAAACATGCTTAACAGTTTTAATTTTTTTCTACAATAATTTTATCTATCATCAATGAAAAAAAAATAATAATATAAGAGTACACTAAATATAGAATTGTGGCCGCAGTTTTTGAACTTTCAATATAATTTTTTTCCTTCCATTATTTTGCCAGCCGCTTGGCACTTGCTTATATCGAGGTTCCACTGTATAGCAAAGTTAGCCTTGCTTCGATGGCCGAAAAACTTATGGTTAATTTAGAATTACGGACAAAAATAATAACAATAAAATGTTAAAAAAAATTTAAGCATCAGTTATTCGGCCATCTCCAAGTCATAACAGAAGCAAAGCTAACTTTGCTATACAGTGGAACCTCGATATAACAAAGTGCCAAGGGACTGACAAAATGTGTTCGCTATAACGAGGTTTCGTTACATCGAAGTACTTTTCCATACATTTTACTATTACTGGGGTAAAGAAAATCGTTCGTTATACCGAGGACTTCGTTACATGGAGGTTCCACTGCGGTATTTCGTTTCTATTACGTGATCCTTACCTTCAAGTTAATGTCTATTAAGGAAATTTTGAAGTAGAGAGAAAATGTATATCCGTCTTCAAAGGTAAGCTCCTCATTGTGAAGTAACGATACACCACGATTGTTTAGTTCACAGACAAACTGATTATTCTCTGAGGTTCCAAAGTTCGTTGAAACACATGTGGGCTCCGCTAGGCACGAATGGGCACAAGACAACAACGAAGAACCTTTTACTGCCTTAATTTGGTGTCCCTTCAGTTTGTGCTTAGGGACAGTCTTTAATGATCCGAGCACGTAACGTTGCTCAAAGCCGCGGGTGGTTTCGGTATATCTCAGAAGGATATAAAGGAGCGGAAAGAAGCAAAAAATGATCATCTTTCGTGAAAAAGGTGGTAATTGAAATATTTGTGCTCAGTAAAAAGCATTTTGTTTGTATTCAAGTACATGCTGAAATTAAAGTAAATATATTTAAGTGCTTCACTGTGCAGCTGCTTCCGGTTGGGCAAATATTAGTAACTTGTTTTGTCAAAATAAATGACCAGGGGCCCGTTTCACTCGAAAGATCCAATAATCGACGGACCCAAAAACGGTTGTTGTTTTTTTTTTCAAAATACAGGCTTCAACACTTTTGCAAATAATATGATAAAATACAGTATTCTTTTCCCGCGAACGGCAGAGAGGGTCATGTGACCTGACTTTTCCTGGGTTTTTCCGTTTGCCGGCCGACGTTTCTTCGAGAGGAAGACATTTTTCCCGTTTGGAAAAGACGCAGAAACGTGAGTATTTGCAGCCTATCTGTTCCGCTTATTTCTTCACCTTCATCGCTTGTTTTTATAGCTATGCTTCTTTTATTATCCTTCTTCCCCATGTACTGTTTGTAAAGCCATAGGTGTAAAAGAGTTCCAAATTCGAGTGAAGAGATGAAAATTGAGAGATGAGAGATGAGATGTAAAATTGCGCAAAGTTTGTCAATGATTAACATTCAACGATTACCCTGTACTGTTATAAAGTTCCTGTTCATTCATGTTGTTAAGGAAGCTATGGAAGTTGTGCTGTACATTCTGCAAGACTTTTAGGTGAACTTTGATCTCGGATGACAATCATACGGCCGGATATCAGTCTAATCTACAGTTAATTGACAGCTAAATGTGTATTGATTTTTTTATTTATTATTCATTCAAAATATTTCCCCAATTCTGATTGGCTAAAAGCACACGCATAACTCACCATAACCAGTTACTGATAACCAATTTTGGAAGAATTTTGTGTTTAACGAGGAAATGACGTCAAAATGCAGCCTTCTACGGGTTAATGCACCGTTAACCGAGAAGACCTGAGGACGAGATTGAGTTGTTTTTGTTGTAAAAAACTAAAATGGCGGACACTTTACTCGATTCAATAGTAAGAACTACAGCTGGAACTAGGCGAGATAATGGCTAAAAGCATAGCAAAAACAGCAAGAAGACAACTCGGAGGGTGACATCTGCTATTTGGAGAATATTTGCGGAGCTGGACAAACCTAAACGTAAACTATCGAAGATAAACTTAACATCGATGCAGGTAAGCTTGTTTCAGCTATATTTTTAAACTAGGAATTATTTTGAATGAATAATAAAACAATTATTGAATTCGGCTTTCGTATCATATGAAGGATTATGGAGATCTCGGAGGGTGTTATCCGCCTCGGCCTACGGTCTCGACGGATAACACCCTCCTCGATCTCCACATTTCTTCATAAGATAATCAGCCTCATTCATTAATTGTTAATTATTAATCGACTACAGCACGTATTTTAAGGACGTAATCCAATACTGCTATTGTCAATTCAGTCCGGTGTCCCCTTAAAAGAGGTTTTTAACGATAGAAATTAGCCAAATACAATTTATTTTAGTGTCCGCGTCTGTAACGTTTAGAGGGATAACACTCAGTAAGAACTCCAATAACGGCGACACTCAACCCGAAGCTAACATCTTTAATTTAATTACAAAATCGCACGTGCTTACACAGGACTTCAGCTTATAGAAGATGCTCAAAATACCTCATGTCAGATGATACAGAATAAAATTCATGTAGGCAATACGTGACATCCCCCTTTCAAAAAATAAAGTAAAATAAATAAACTAGCAATAATAATGAGAAAGGAAAAAAACAGAACAAAGAAACAAACGGCTAGGGAAGAAAAAAAAAAGAGTTCACACGATTAGAGCTGGTATCAAGAGTCATATCTTAGTGGCTTTCGAAACACTCGGCCGCTTCTGATCGTCATCACAGCAGCTGCAGGCGTACGGGTAGCAGAAACAGGAACTGAACCAATGTCATTGGATCTGGAAACAGGTTCATTGCTTGGTTTTGGTTCTGACTGGACGACGGTGAGACCATCTGAAACCTCCATATTGGCAGAAATAGGTATGGGACAGCTTGGAAGGTCAGCCGCAGTGAAATATTGGTCTTGTTGGCTTGGAG